GCGCGCCGCACCACGACCACGGCCTCGGCCGACGCAGTTGAGCGCGCGCCGCATCTATGCGCAACATGGACGGACCGCCGCGACGGTTTACGGACCCGCGGCGACCTCCGGACGCGTCCAGCGCCGCCCGCTGCTCGGCCGCTCCCGCAGGCGGTTTCCGAGGCCGTGTGCGCCGTCGCGCGCACGCCGTTTCCAGCGCTCAAAAGTGGCACGCGACCGCGCAGGGACTAGTAGACGCGGACGGAAGCGGCGCGGGGGTCACAGGCGGCCTCATACGGCCTGTGGCGCGGCGCGAAGGCCATATTGAGGCTAATCGTCCGAGAGGTTTGGGTGTGGGGAGAGCTTTTGAACGAGTCAGTGATGCTCTGCAACGAGCTGCCCCGACTTGGCGCCGAGCGGAGAAGCTGCCCGGCCGCGGCGGTCGTGGCAGTCGCGATGGCCCCAGCCGGGCTGGCGTGGCTGGCGACGGCCTGCATGTTCGTCGCCGCCGCGGCGCAGGGCCGGGCCTGGGGCAAGGGCAGCTGGGCCGCGGCCCACGGCTTCGCGAACCGCAGCGCCTACCAGGCCCAGGCGCCGGTCTGCGATTTCTACGCCGGCGGCCACTGCTACACGCTCTGGGGCGAGGCGCTGAGCATCGACTCCATGGAGCTCAAGTGCCAGGCCGACGTCGGCGGCCACCTCGCCATCGTCGAGACGAGGGAGCAGTACGTCGCCGTGCGCGACTTCCTCGACGACCGCGTCGACGACGAGGGCGTCGCGGTCCGCGTCGGCGCCTACAAGCTCGGCGAGCGCGTCCGCCCGCGCCTTCTTCTTCGAGCGATGTCACACACACGCACATCTTTTTTAGGAACTCGGCCTGGAAGTGGCGCGACGGGTCGAAGACGTTCTTCAAGAAGGTGCAGGAGGACAGCAGCAGCAACCACGGCTGCGGCTTCCTCTGGCTCTTCCCCTGCGACTGGCACGAGGGCTGCGCCATCTGGTGGCAGGACGACCCGTCCCAGCCCCTCTTCGACTTCCAGTGCCACGACGCGGCGTCGGGCTACTCGAACCTCTACCTCTGCTCGCACGATAAAGTCCCCTCGCCCGCGCCGACACCGCGGCCCAGCGGCGTCCCGACGCCGGCGCCGCAGGCGGAGAAGACCGACGACGACGACGACGGGTTCCTGGGCGTCTCCGCGGCGGGCGTCGACTCGCGGACGGGCGCCGTCGCGGGCCTGGCCGTCGTCTTCGCGTCTTTGGCGCTCTACGGCGCCGCGCGCTGCCTCCGGGGCGGCAAGCGGCGCCGGCAGGAGCCCGTCGTCGCGCGCGTCGCGGGCCTGGCGCACGTCGCCGAGGCCGTGCCGACGAGCGACGCCACGGAGCTCGAGATGGCGCAGGTGACGTCGCTCCTCCCCGACGACGGCAGTTCGGGGAAAGACCCGCCGCTCTGCGAGGCGACGGCCGTGACGACGGCCCTGCCCGTGGGCTACAGCCCCCTCGGGCTCGGCCCGCCCCTCCGCGCGCCGCGGCGGCCGCCGGACCTGCCGCGGCCGCCGGGCGTCGTCGCCGCGGCGTCGGCGGGCGGAGGCGCCGCGCCGCCGGAGCCCGAGGCCGCGCCGGACGCCGCGTCGCCCGCACCGCCGGAGCCCGAGAGCTCCGCGCCGGAAGCCGAGCCGACGCCGCCGCCGCCGCCCGAGGAGGCTCCCGCGACAGAGGAGGCAGCGGCTCCCGCGCCGGAGGACGATCCGGAGCGAGCGGCTCCGACGCCACCAGCGGAGCAACCTACGCCGACAGAGGAGCAAGCGGCTCCCGCGCCACCAGAGCAACAATCGGTCCCCGCGCCACCACCGCCGGAGCAAGCGGCTCCGACGCCACCGGAGGACGAGGCGGCTTCGACGCCGCTCGAGGCGGCTCCCGCGCCGCCGGAGGACGAGGCGGAGACCGCGCCGCCGGAGGACGAGGCGGAGACCGCGCCGCCGGAGGACGAGGACGCTCCCGCGCCGCCGCCAGAGGCCGCCGCGCCGCCGCCGGCAGCGCCGGAGGCGGCCGACCCCCCGCTCGAACCCGACGACGACGAGAGGAGTCGGCCACCCGACGACGCCGCGACGGGGCTCCTCTCCTAACGATGTTTGTTGCATCTAGCCGATGTCCGTTACGACGTTCGCGTAGACGGGCCGCGACTGGACGCCGTTGTCGTGGAGAAAAAGTCCGAAGGCCGCGAGCGGGCGATCCAGATCCGTGTCGCGCACGGCGCCGTATTTCGCGGGGAGGAAGCCGCCGCGCAGGTAGGTGCCGACCTTGCCCGCGGCGCGCTTCACGAAGCCGAGCTTCGGGGCCTTGGTCGCGGGGCCGAAGTGGATCGTCACAGTGGCCTCGTCGCAGCGCGACCGCCGCGCGGAGAGCACGCGGGCCACGAGCTTGCGCAGGAAGCGGACCGTCGCCGTCTTCTCGTCGATCTTGAACGTGAGCCAGTCGTCGAGCTCCGGGCCCATGGTCTGCACGACGACGCGGCCCTCCAACGCCGTCGGCGCGTCGCGCAAACCGCGCGTCGACACGGACGCGACCGCGCCGCCGCCGCCGAGGACCTCGACGGCGTCGCCGGAGGCGGCGTCGACGCCGCCCGTCGGGAAGCGGACGAAGGGCCGCGCGTCGCGCGGCACGCCCGAGAACGCCACCCCGAGATCCCTCGCGCCGAGGAAGAAGCGGAGCTCGCCGCCGAAGCCCAGGCTGAGGCCCACGCGCTCCCCGGCGCCGTAGCGATACCCGTAGGCGACGGCGCCGTCGACGCCGTCGTCGCAGCGCCGCTTCGCCACGGCCCGCCCGGCGCCGTCGACGAACCACTCGCGGATCTCGCCCCGCACCGTCGCGGCGACGCCGACGTGGAGCTCGAGGCTCCGCATGGCGGCGATTCGCACGCGAAACAGGAAGTAGGGGCTGAGGGCCTGGGGCACGTAGACGACGCGGCCGAGCGACATCCACCGCGGGTCCGCCACGAGCGAGTTCCCGCGGATCGCGACGCCGCGCGCGGGAAACGCCGGCGGCGCGGCGCAGGTAAGGTACGCGGACTCGAAGGCGCGGGCGCCGTCGCGCGCGCCGAAGCGCCGAAGGTGACGGCGGAGGTCCTTGCAGGACGAGGCGGCGCCGTGCACGGCGCCGACGTCCAACAGGATCCAGATGCTGTCGAGCAGCTCCTGCGGCAGCACGAGGAGGGGTGTCGGCTTTCGCACGCGCGGCGGCGCCGACGTCGAAGCCCGGGACCGCGGTGGTCGCGCAAGTGCCCGGCGCGGCGGCGCCGAGCGGCCCCGGCGGGTGAGCATCCCGTCAGAGAAGGATTCTCAAAGGCACAACCATGCCTTGCACTGTGTCGAGTGCATGAGCCGGTCGTGCCGAAGGGGCCCCTAGGCAACGTTGCGTCTTGCAGACGCGGCCTTACGCGGGAGACGCGAGTTCCGGGACGCGGCAGGACGCGGCCAAGACGCCCCGGGACGCGGCCGAGACGCGCCGGAGACGCGGGACGCGGCCGGGACGCGAAAAAAAAGACGCCAGAGACCACCCCAGGACCGAACCCACGACACAGTGCACGACCACGAAAGACGACCCCGGGACCGAAGCCAGACCCGCGGGACGCGAGAGACGCGCGAGAGACGCAGCCCAGACGCGGGACGCCGGCCCAGACGCCGGCCAGACGCCGCCAGACGCGGCCGAGACGCCCCAGACGCGGCCAAGACGCGACTTCCGAGACGCGCCGGAGACGCCGGAGGACCTGGCGGAGACTGCCCGGGGACTTAGCGAAAGACGCCCAGACCGCGCGTTGCCTAGGGGCCCCTTGCCGAGCAATTGCAATTCAACGACGCCGCATGCCCCTCAACACTGCCTCCGGCACATACAAGCAAGTTACTTTCTCAGCTGATGTCGACGTCGACGCTCGCGTAGATGGGCCGCGACTGGACGCCGTTGTCGAGGAAGGCGACGCGGAAGTCCGCGAGCGGGCGATCGAGGTCCGCGTCGCGCGCCGCTCCGTACGCGTGGCGGCCCGCGCGCGTCGCCGTCGCCGGCGGGGCCGCGCGGGGCTGGAGCAGGGGCCCGAAGTGCATGATGATGCACTCCTCGTCGACGGCGGAGCCCTGGCGCTCCGCGAGCGCCGCGGCGACGCGCGAGCGGAGGAAGCGGACCGTCGCGGTGCGCGGGGACAGCCCGTTGCCGGGCGCGAACGCCTTGAACGAGAGCCAGTCGTCGAGCTCGGGCCCCATGAGCTGGACGACGAGGTGGCCGTCGATGGCGCTCGGCGCGTCGCGGGCGCCGTCCGGCGACGTGCGGACGAAATCGCCCTCGCGGCCGTCCAAGATCTCGACCGCGTCGCCGCTCTCGCCCGAGTTGCCACCCGTGGGGAAGCGCACGAAGGGCCGCGCGTCCCGCGGCACGCCCGAGAACGCCACCCCGAGATCCTTGGACCCGAGGAAGAAGCGCAGGGCGCCGCCGCCGAGGCAGAGGCCCACGCGCTCGCCGGCGCCGAAGCGGTGCCCGTAGGCGAACGCGACGTCCGAGCGCACCGAGTGGTCGCCCCGGATCTTGACGACCGCGCGGCCGGCGCCGTCGACGAACCACTCCTTCGTCCGGCCGCCCGCGTCCGCGGCGACGCCGATCTCGAGCGTCAGGGACCGCATCGCGCGGACCCTGACCCGGAACATGAAGTAGGGGCTCAGCGCGACGGGCACGTCGACGACGCGGCCGAGCGACATCCACCGCGGGTTCGCCGCGAGGACGCCGCCGGCGATCGCGACGCCCCGCGTCGGCGACGGCGCCGGCTCCGCCGCGTGGCAGGGCAGGTAGCGGCCGTCGCCGAAGCGCCGCGCGTGCCGGAGCAGGCCGTCGCAGACCGCCGCCGCCGCGTGCACGCCCGCGACGTCCAGGAGGACCCAGACGCGGTCGAGCAGATCCGTCGGCAGGGCCGCGAGGGCATCTCCGAGCGCGTCCGGCTCCGCGGCGTCGCCCACGGTGGCCGCGTCGTCGGGCTCGTCGCAGAGCGTGCCGATCGCGTAGTCGCGCAGCATCTTCGTCTGGTGCTTGTCGTGCGTCTCCGCGAACTCGTCGGTGCAGTCCGACCCGAGCACGCGTTCGATGGCCAACGCCGTCGACGTGGACCCGCCGAAACTCCACCCCGGGTGGTTCTGCACGAAGTTCGTGATGTCGTAGACGACGCCGTCGACGACGATCCAGCCGTCGTCCCGCGTCGCGTGCTTCGCGACCTCGCTCAGGGGGATCTCCGCTTGTGTTGTGGGCGGCCGGCTGGGCCGCTGCGCCGCCGTGACCGAGCTCACGGGCCGCAGACGGATCATGGCTCGACGAACTCGGCGTCTGCGTCGCGACGCTCCTCAATGACGAGGCGCCCGTCGGCTCGCACGTGAGCCCACGAACGAGCTTGCGCCGCTCGCCGAAGGCATCTTGGGCCAGGTTGACAAGCGCACCGCCGCCTGCTCGTCGTCGTTCGCGGCCGGCACACCCAATGCGCCTCCCGTCGCTCCTCCTCGTCTCCACGACGGCCAACGCGCTCTTCGTCGCCGCGCCGCGGCGGTCCACGCATCTCCGCTCGTCCGCCGACGACGGCGGCCAGAGCCTCGAGGGCCTCGAGAGCGAGTACTGGAATTCGCTGTCGTCGACGGAGAAGACCATCCTCACCAAGAGCCGCGCCGGCGGCGAGTACCTCAAGCTCGGCCAGCTCGAGGACGCGCTCGCGTGCTACGACGTCGCGCAGGACCTGAGCGGCAACGACCGCTACGAGTGGCACCGGGGCCTGGCGCTCTTCTACCTCGGCCGCGAGGGCGACGCCGCGGCGGACCTGCTCGCGAACGCGGCGCGCTTCGAGGCGCGCTTCGACGAGCCGGCGACGGAGGAGCGCATCTTCGCGGCCGCGGCCGCGATGCGGTCCGCGCCGGCGGCGCCGCCGCGCGTCGCCGAGTCGCCGCTCCGCGAGTCGCGGCCGGTGCTCCGCGCGGCGCGGGACCTCTTCTTCGCCGGCGGGGGCGACGCGCCGACCATGGCCTGGAAGCTCGACGAGCTCAAGGCCGCCTGCCGGTCCCGGGGCCTCAAGGTCTCCGGCCGGAAGGCCGAGCTCGTGGCGAGGCTCGCCGACGCGCCCGCGGCCGACGCCGGCGACGCCGTCGCCAGGGCCTTCGACTCGCTGCGCACGCTCTGCGCCGCGGCGACGGCCGGCGATCCGCTCCGGCGCCGGCTCTTCGGCCACTTTTACGCGGGCCTCTACCACGAGGCGGACGGCGACGAGACGCGCGCCGCGGCGCACATCGCCCTCGCGCACCGGCGCGCGGGCGAGGAGGCGGCCGACGACCTCACGGTGAAGCTGCCGCAGATCCACGCGGACGCGCGGGGCTGGGTCCTCGGCGACGTGCCCCCCGCGGACCTCGCGCGCGCGGAGACGTTCCAGTAACTCGCCGGCGCGGAACATCTCGGAGACGTTCCAGTAGGACTTAAAACTCGCCGGCGCCGAACATCTTCGCGCCGCCGGCGTGGTAGGTCGGGTACCGCAGGGTCGGCATGCCCAGCGCCCGCTTCAGGGCCGCGTTGCGGCCCCGGGCCGCGCGGTGGGCCCGCGGTCCGGTCGGCGCGGTCCGGTTCGCGCAGAAGGCCGCCGCGTCGTCGCCCTTGTGCTGCCCAGGCACCGAGAAGGCGTTCTACGACAAGGAGCGGCCGACGTACGCGCGCTTCGCGACCGCGGGCGGGACCGCGCTGCGCCTCGAGCTCGTCGACGTCTTCTCCGACGACGTCGTCTACCGCCACGCCTTCGGCGACGGCGACGCGGTGGCCTGGGACGGCGAGGACTCCAAGTCCAAGGGCCTCGCCGTCGACGCGACGGTCGACGCGACGATCGCGACGGAGGACTGGGCGGCCTTCGAGTCCGTCCAGGCCTTTTTGAGCAACAAGAACGTCGACGACGACGCCGGCGGCCAGATCCTCGACGACCTCGCGTACTACCTGCCCGCGTCGACGCGCGTGCGCTACGACCGGCGCCTCGCGCGCGGCGCGATCGGTGACCCCAACGTCGTCGGCGGCGTCGTGGCCTTCTGCGCCTACCAGCCCGACTCGTCGAAGATCCGCATCGCGCTCTGCGCGGAGATCGGCCTCACGGACGGCGCGCTCGCGAGCGTCGCGGTCGTTCCCACGCCGAACGCGTCGACGGGCGTGAGCCTCGACGAGGTCCACCTCGACGCCTTCAAGCCCCTGGGCCCGAACACGTACGTCGTCTCGGGCAACAACAAGGACAAGGGCTCGGGCTTCACCTACAAGTGGGAGGGCGACGCGTTGACGCCGACGCAGGACGACTACGACGTCGACTCGCACGACGTCCAGGTCGACTGCGAGCACAGCGACCAGCTCTGGGTGCCGTCGTCGAACGCGACCTTCAGCATCAGCCAGGTGCGGCGCGACACGGGCGAGACGATCCGCGCGCTCCGCTTCGACGACGTCGACGGCGTCTCCGTCGAGGACTTCTGCGAGGACGTGAACCACGCCCAGGTCGTCGGCCAGAACGAGTTCGCCATCCTCTCGTGCCGCCTCAGCGACTCCATCGTCAAGCTCCGGCTCGACGACGGCAGCGTCGAGTGGGTTTTAGGGGGCAACGAGGGCCAGTTCGCGCTCGTCGACGCCGACGGCGAGGCGTTCCCCCCGGGCGCCAAGCTCTGGTACGGCCAGCACAACGTCGAGTACGTCGGCGACGGCCTCATCTACATGTTCGACAACCAGTTCAACAAGACGACGAACTCGCGCGCGATCGCGGTCCGGGTCGACGAGGCCGCGAAGGTCGCGACGGTCGAGTGGGAGTACACCTTCGGCGAGGGCGCCGCCTACCCGACGGGCTACTCCAAGGTCTTCGGCGACCACGACCGCCTCCCGACGTCCAACCACCTCGCGGTCTGGTGGCCCGGCAACAACACGGCCTTCCGAGACGGCGCGAACGCCGAGATCCTCGAGCTCACCGACGACAAGGCGCACGTCCTCGAGATCGACATCTACGGCGAGACCGACGTCCTCTCGACCATGTACAAGAACTGGAAGATCTACGCCGTCGAGCGCGTCTACGCGCGGCCCCTCGTGTGGGACGCGCGCTGCGACGGCGACGAACTCTCCGCGAAGACCGTCAACACCTACAAGGAGAGCCACCTCCGCAACGGCACCCTCGAGTTCCTCGACGCCACGGGCGCCGTCGTCGCCAGCGAGGCCTTCCAATGGGACGCCTTCTGGAGCCCGACGACGTCGCCGCGCCGCCCGCGGCCGCCGTCGACGCCGGGGCCGCGAGCCTCCGCGTCCTCAACCAGCACGGCCAGACCTCGCGGGCCCTCCCGATCTCCTGCTAGGCTGTCCTCTTTATGTTTAACCTCTTGAATGTCGATCCGCCCCCTCACGCCGCCGCCGCGTCGTCGATCTCGTCGTGGACGTCGAAGGTCGCGACGGGCGACGCGTTCTGGACGTAGAAGGTCTGGCGGTGGGGCACGTAGGCCGGCGGCTTCTCGAAGGGCGCGTTGATCTTGTCGAGCTGGACGCTGTCGAAGATCTTGACGTCCGCGTTCGCGAGGGCCACGGCCAGCGTCCTCCGGCCTGGGCAGCACAAGGGTGATTCAACGTCGCGTCAACGTGAGTGTTCCGCGCGCGCGCGTTACGAAAAACACATCCACGCTTCGAGACCGTTCCGAGGGATGATCGCTCGTCCAAAAATCAGCCGAAACGAGTGGAAAACGGCCGAGATCGGAGCCTTTGAAGTTGGGAATTTCGCTCTCTTGTGCTGCCCGTCCTCCGGCGGTCGCAGGCGGCCCGCCAGTCCCTGTCCGCCGCGTCGACGGCGTCGATGAAGTAGTTCGGGTCCTGGATGGACTTGAGCGGCTCCGCGCGCCAGAGGTGGCGGTGGAGCACCGCGCCGATGGGCAGCGCGCGCGTCGGGTCCTCGGCGACGCGCGCGTCGACGATGTGCGCGTCGTCGGGCAGGATGTGGTCGTCGAAGAAGATCTGGTGCACGCGCACGTCGCCGACCTCGACGAAGAGGGGCTTGCCGCCCCGGGCCGTCGCGCCGCTCCGCTCCCACCCGGAGAACGAGTCGCGGAGCGCGAGGGTCGTCCGCTCGTTCGGGTCGTGGAGCAGGCTCCGCAGCGCGTCGCGCGCGGCCTCGGGCGTCGCGTAGACGGACGTGACGGCGTCGCCTTTTGTTTCTTCGTACCAGGCGAGCGCGTCCGCGACGGTCGCCGACCGCGCGGGCGGCGGCTGGTCGAGCGTGCCGAGGATGAGCGCGACGCCGTCGCCGCCGTCGCGGAAAAAGGTGCCGCAGCCCGGCGCGCCGTCGCAGACCTTGATGCGCATGTCGACGTCGCCGTCGGACCCGTCGAGGACGATGTCCTCGTCGCCGGGGAACCTACCGGATGCGTCGGTGGTTCCATCGTGTTCCCGGTCAAAAGCTCTCGTACGTCGTCGCGGCCGCGGGACGCCGCGGCGCGCTCGGAGTGCGCGTTCCGGCAGAGGTCGTTGAACTCGTCGGCGATCTTCCCGAGATCCTTCCCGAAGGTCCGGAACGTCACGGAGAAGGACCGCCGCCGCTTCTTGAGTTGGCGCAGGCAGTGGAGGAAGGACTGGAGGAGCAGGGTCCGCGTCGGGAGCTGCGCGCGCAGGAGGTCCATGTTCTCCGCGAGGGAGTGGCCCGGCGCGCCCTCGCCCACGAAGCCCCGCAGCAGCTTTCGCCGCGCGTCCTTGCAGCCCCGGACGTCGTCGGTGATGGGGATGCTCGCCGTGACGAAGGACGAGTAGGTGACCGCGGCGTCGTTCAACGGCGGCTTCTCCGGCCCGACGACCGCGGCGGGGTCCAGCGTCCACGTGCCGTCCTCCACGGACCCCCAGGCGTTGTTCGCTAAAACCGTCGCGAGCATGGCGTCGGCGTCGCTGCCCGTGGCCGAGTCGAGCATAAGCACGGTTTGATTTACGTCGAAGTTGAGGACGAGATGCGGCAGGTGGGCCGCGTCCGGCGCCGGCGGCGCCCGCAGCAGGCTCGCGAACTCGTCGGGCTGGATCTCGCCGTCGCCGTTGGCGTCGCACTCGCGGATGAGGGCGTTGACGGCGTCGACGTCCAGCGACGCGTCGCCTAAACGCAGCAAAGCCACGAGGAGCTCCGACGCGTCCAGCGCGCCCGACTCGTCGAGGTCCAGGTGGTTGAAGATCTTTTTGAGGTGGTCGCCGGCGCCGGTGCCGCTCAGCAGCGCGCGCGGCGACGCGAGCGCCGCGGCGGCGAGCAGGTCCTTGGCCTGCGACCGCGTCACCTCCTCCTGGCCGACGAAGGCGGCGTCGAAGCGCGTCAGCAGCGGCGTCGGGCACTTTTCCCGGAGCGTCATGATGGGCACCTTCGTCGCCTCATCGGCGAAGCAGCCCTCGAGCGCGTCGGCGCTGGCGGAGGCGGCGGCGCCCATCGACGTCGGGGCAGGCGCTGGATGCGATTGGTGCGGCACCGTAGAAGGATGAAGACTTCATTGAAGTCACTTGTGTTGCTCTCGTAATCGACGTGTACTCGGCTCCGCCAAGCTCGTCGACGCGTGCCATCTCCACGCGCGATGGCTCCCTTCGGCTTCGTCGGCATCGGCATCATGGGCGAGGGCATGGCGACGTGCCTGCTGAACGACGGGCGCAGCCTCGTCGTCTGGAACCGCGACGCGTCCAAGAGCGAGAAGCTCAAGCTGGCCTTCCCGCGGCTCGTCACGGTCGCCGCGACGGCGGCGACGGTCGTCGAGACCTGCGCCGTGACCTTCTCCATGCTCAGCACCCTCGAGGCGTCGCAGGCCGTCTTCCCGGCGCTCGTCGGCGCCGTCAAGGAGGGCAAGAGCATCGTCGACTGCGCGACGCTCACGCCGGAGCGCATGCGCGACATGCGCGGCGCGGTGACGCTCGCCGGCGGCCGCTTCCTCGAGGCGCCCGTGTCCGGGTCCAAGGCGCCGGCGGCCCAGGGCGCCCTCATCTTCCTCTGCGGCGGCGACGCGGCGCTCTACGCGGAGGTCAAGCCGGAGCTCGCCGTCATGGGCAAGGCCGACTTCCTCTTCGGCGACGTCGGCGCGGGCACGAAGATGAAGCTGGTGGTGAACATGGTCATGGGCGACATGATGGTCGCCCTCTCGGAGGGCCTGAGCCTCTGCGGCGCGGCGGGCCTGCCGGGCGACGCCGAGGCCGGCCTGCTCAAGGTGTTGGATTTGGGGATCATGTCCAACGGCATGTTCCGCCTCAAGGGGCCCAAGATGCTCGCGGGCGACCACGCGCCCAACTTCCCCCTGAAGCACGCCCAGAAGGACATGCGCTTCGCGCTGAATCTCGGGGACCAGGTCGGCCAGGCGCTGCCCGTGTCCGCGGCCGCGAACGCCGCGTTCCTCGCCGCGCGCGCGGAAAGCGGCGACGACGACTTCTCCGCGGTCTACGAGCAGCAGAAGGCGGCGAAGTAGGGCCGTAACGCGCCGCGGGGTCGCTCCCGCTATGTACGCAGGGGGGGGGCGATGCTAGGGGACGAGGAGCACCGCGGCGAGGATGGCCGCGGCGAGGAGCACGGGCGCCGCGGTCTTGCAGCCTTGGACGGTCGCCGGGTGCGTGAGGCAGGCCCAGGAGGGCTTCGTGCGCCGCTCGCGGAGGTCCTTGGCGACGCCGTAGACCGTGAGGAAGTAGGACACGCCGAGGCCCTGCCAGGCGGCGTTGAAGGCGTACTCGAGCCACGCCGGCGCGGTCCTCGCGGTCACGAAGTTGTGGTGCACGAGGCCGAGGCCCGCCGCGGCGACGGCGACGGCGGCGACGGCGCCGCGCTTCGGCGTCGCGTCCACGAACACCGTGAAGACGGCGGCCTGGCACAGGACCGTCAAACCGCAGGCGAGGTAGATGACCGTCTCGAGGCGCGCGCGGAGCTCCCGGACCCGGGCCCGCTCGCTGTCGCCGACGTGCGACGCGCCGCCCGCGCCGGCCGTGAGCAGCACGAGGCTCGCGAGCTCGAGCGCGACGACGACGACGGCGAGCGTCGCCGTCGCGTCGAGCAGCACGCCCACGTTCCGCGACTGCGCGATCTCGTCGAGCTCGTCGTGGATCTCGCCTGCGCGAAACTCACATCTTCCACCCGACTTCAACGTGAGCGTATGCGAAGGGCTCGACGCGAGCGCTTCGGCCCTGCTTCGAGAAGAGCGATCGATGCGTCCAAACATCGGCCGAATCGACGTCGACGTGGCCGAGCGAGAGGTTTCCAAAGTGTGGTCGGGACGTCCCAGACCGGCGGTTGAGTTCCACGCGGGATCTCGCGGCGCACGGCGTGGTTCCAGCGCACGAACGCGTGGATCGTGTGCTCGCCGTCGCTCGGCGACGGCTCCATGGCCACGCCCAGCGCGTCCAGGTCGGGCCGGTGGCGGACCGCCTCGCGCGGCCGCGCGCCCCGGCGGCCGCGGACCGCGCCCGCGACCTCGGCGGCCCCCGGGGCCCGCGCGGCCACGGCGACGCCGTCGCCCGCGCCCGACGGCACGAGCGCGTCGCCGCAGTCGACGCCGCCGCGGACGCGCACGGGCACCTGGCCCAGGAAGGCCACGAAGGCCCCCCGCGCGGCGACGGCGCGGTCCACGGGCATGCCCGCGGCCACCGACGGCGACGTCGACACGATCATGCAGGGCCCGTCGCCGGACGTGTCGAGCGTGAGCCGCTGCTCGGGCGACCGGAGCTGGACGACGCTCCCCGGCGGCGGCGCGGCGAGGGCCGGCGGCGCCGGCGCGACCTTGCCGCCGCCGTCCGGCGGCGGCAGCGCGTCGGTGGACCACGCGAACCACTCCGCGTAGTCCGCGGCGTGCGGCGGCGTCGCGAGCTTTCCGTAGACGACGCCGTCGACGTGGACGTCGCCCGCGACGCGCAGGTCCTTGCGGAACGTCACGCAGTCGTCGTCGTCCCCGAGGGAGACCGCGCCCGCCTCCGACGCGCCCTCGCCCGGGGGCGCGTCGGCGGCCGGCGTCGCCCACGCGTGCATGATCGCCGCGTCGCCGAGCGTCGCGATCCGCGCGTCACCGTCGCCGCGCCGCGGGCGCTTGCGCGTCGCCGCGCCCGCCGGCGCCGCCCGGGGCTCCTTGGTGACGAGCGCGTAGAGGCGGCCGCGGTAGCCGTGGGGCACGGACTTGCCCGTCCGCGACGCGACGCCGTCGGGCCCCGCGACCCAGGCGCGCGCGCTCCGGCCCATGGGCCGCGCGACGACGCCCAGACCCGCCACGGGCGACCACCAGATCTCGCTGTTGAGGATGGACTGGAACGTCACGGAGATGTCCGAGGGGCCGCTCGCGCAGTCCTCGACGTCGCCCGCGCGGCAGAGGCGCCGGCAGACGACGTAGCTCAGGGACCGCGCCGGCGCCAGGGGCGACGCGGACGGGCGGCGCGGCAGGCCCTCGAGGGCGACGGGGCTCTCCGCGCGGAGCGCTAAAAGCGCGTGGAACACGTCGGCCAAAGGCGCGGGCTCCGCGAGGCCGCCGCGGAGCTTCGCGACGGTGTCGGCGGCGACGCCCGCGTCCCAGGACACGCCCGCGGCCTCGGGCGAAACGTCCCGGGCGTCCTCGGCGCGCGCGTCCGTCGCCGCCGACGACGCGCCGCCCGACGCGCCGCCGCCCGGCGCGTCGTCGTCGTCGAGGAACTGGAGGATGTCCATGTCGTCGTCGATGGGGAAGTCGTCGAGCCCCGCCTCGAGGTCATTCGATGCGTCGACCACCGTCGTCGTCGTCGGTTCTTTGGCGCTGAAGCGGGGACGCATCGTTCGGCATTCCACGCTCCAAAGGGCTGCCGAAGTTGGCTGGGCGGTTGTTGATAAAGGAAACCTTGGTGCATCGACGGCCGGGAGCTCCGCAGAGGTCTCGGCCAATTCGCGAACCGGAGCGCGCGAACGCTCGCGCGCAACGCGACGGGCCCGCAGCGCGCGACGCGACGACGCGACGCACCCGCAACGCTCATCACAAAGCACACCTGCGACCGAGCAGCATGGACGCCGAGCTCCGCGCGACGCTCGCGGCCCTGGGCCACGTCGTCCACGACGAGGCCGACTGCGTGAAGCGCGTCCGCCGCCTCGGCGTCGAGGAGGTGGACGAGAGCGACGACGACGACTACTTGCGGCCCGACGTCGAGTGGGTCGCGGCGACACTGGCCGGCGAGGGCGACGCGGCCGCGCAGCGGCGGCGCGCGGCGCAGCGCGACCGCGCGGCCGCCGGCGTCGAGATCGGCGTCGACGACGCGCCCGTCGACCTGAGCCGGCCGCTCGAGTCTCGCGCCGACGCGGCGTCGTTCTTCGTCAACGACGTGCGCACGGACAGGCGCGCGGCGCGGTCCATCGAGACGCGCGAGACGATGCCGCGGACGCTCTGGGGCACGCCCCTGCGGCGCGTGATCGTCAGCAGCTTCATGGACCCCGTGTCGAACGGCCAGTTCTTTCGGGACTGGTTCCTCCACTGGGACACGGACGACCGCATCCCCATCGTCGTCCTCGCGCACGCGACCAAGGCGCCCTACACGAGCGTCGTCGCGAACGACGGGTCCAGGCGGCCGGTGGGCAACTACGAGGCGGACCCCGAGGGCCGCTTCGTGCGCGACGCGAGCGCGGAGTGCTTCTCGGTCCCGCGTCCCTCCGGCGACGACGCGCGCACGGTCTTCTTCGATGCGATCGAAGGGAAGACCGACGACGGCGACGCGATCCCCTGGGCCCTCGCGAACGCGACGGTCTGCCTGCCGCCGCTGCCGACGCCCAAGGAGGCGCACCACTACGAAGGGTCCGCGCCGGCGTCCGAGTGCGCGTCCGCCCTTCGCCACGCCCGTCGTCCTTGATAGGTGCCAGCACGTGAAGCTCTTCGTCGCCGAGTACGGCGCGGGCGTGCGCGTCTGCGTCTCGTCCGCGAACCTGTGCGAGGGCGAGCAGGTGTCGCAGCTCGAGGTCTGGTTCGTCCACGACTTCCGCTTCGCCGCGGAGCGGCCCCTGCGCTCCCTGGTCCTCGACGACGACGCGGCGCGCCTCGCCGCGGCCGCGGGCGACGGCGGCCGCCGGCCGCTGACCTTTGGCGCAACCCTCGTCGACTTCCTCGCGCGCATGACCGAGGGCCTCGGCGACGAGGTCTGCGTCGACGGCGACACGCTCGGCAATTGGCGCTCGCGGCTCCTCGCCTGCGACACGTCCACCTGCGACGGCGTCCAGCTCGTGCCGACGGCGCCCGGCGTCCACTACTACGTCCCAAACAAGCCGCGGCGCGACGACGACGCGTTCCTCGGCTTCGCGCGCTTCGAGCTCCGCGACGTCGAGGGCGGCGAGGCGGCCTTCGACGCGAGCCCGAAGCGGCTCACGCGCTCGAAGAAGGCCGAGTGCGTCCAGCTGAAGGACGCGACGTTCGAGGACGGCGAAACCTTCCGCGACGGCTCGGTCGTCGCGCCCGGCGGCTTCCGCGGCTTCTTCCCGAAGCCGCTCGCCGCGGCGATCCGGAGCCTGCGGGCGGCCGGCACGCGCGTGCGCGTCGAGCTCGCCTGCGTCTTCTCCGGAGCCCGGCTGCTCCCGAAGGCCGGCGAGCGAGGCGACGCGGCCGTCGACGACCGGAAGCCCGCGCACGAGACGTGGCGCGCGTCGTTCCGCGTCGCCGTCGACGCGTGGGGGCCGACGACCGACGCGTCGACGTCCGCGTTCGCCGTGCTCCTCTCGTCGCTGCGCACGCCCCAGGGCTACCAGGCGCTCCGCGTCGCGCTCGACGGCGAGGGCGTCGACTGGTGGACGCACGCGGCGGCGAACCGCGAGCTCGCGTTCTTCGCGTGGTCGCCGGAGTGGTCGCGCGGCGGCGCGACGGCGATCTGCGACGACATCGCCTGGGCCGCGGGCACGTCGCCGACGCGCGTCGAGGCGGCGCTCGCGGACCAGAACGTCGCGCGCGCGCGGCGGACCGGCGCCGTCGTCGACGTCGAGGGCCCCAAGTGCTGGAACCCGACGCGGCGGCCGGCGACGCTCACGCGGGACGACCTCCTCTCGAAGCAGAACCAGGCGAAGCTCGTCGCGCACGACCTGGCCTACGACCGCGCGCCGCCGCCGGGCGAGGAGGCGGCGCGCCGCCGCGGCGGCGCGCTCGTGGAAGCGCACGCGAAGTTCATCTACCGCCTCTTCCTCGACGAGGCGTCGGGCGAGACCTTCGGCTGGGTCTACGTGGGCAGCCACAACTTCAGCGCCGCGGCCTGGGGCGCCGGGCCGCGCTGGGGCTACTGCCGGACGACGAACTGGGAGCTCGGCGTCGTCCTCCAGCAGCCGCCGGGGCGCCCGGCGCCGGCCGGCGTGCCGCCCTTCCACCGGCGCTACCCCCTGCCCTACGTGCCCGGCGCGCCCGCGGACCCCGACACGCTGCTGAACAAGGACCAGTTCAAGGATCGAAGGCACACGGCGCGCGACGCCGACGACGCGGCTCTCCAGCAGGGCATCGCGAACAGCCTCGGAGTCGTCGGCGGCGGCGACGCGGAGCCCGCGTTCGCGCCGGAGCCCGACCGCGACGACGCGGCGCTCCGGCGGGCCACGGCGATGAGCCTCGAGGCGTCGGCGGGCGGCGACGACGACCTCGCGCGCGCGCTCGCGGAGTCGGCCCGCGATGCCGCCGCCGCGCGCGCGCGGGACGCCGAGCGTCACGAGCTGGCCCGCGCCCTCGAGCTCTCCCGCCGGGAGCGGCCCGCGGCCGACGCCGCGCCAAGCGACGCCGACGACGAGCTGGCCCGCGCCCTCGAGCTCTCCCGCCAGGAGCGACCCGCGGCCGACGCCGACGTGGCCCGCGCGATCGCGCTGTTGTCGCCCGGCGCCCGCGAGGCCGAGCCGATCGATCTCACGTGACTCTTCGCTGCTCTGCCTCTAGCGCGTTAGTAGACGGGCGCGTCCACGGGCGCGGGCAGCTCTTGGGGGCGCGTGTCGCGGCCCGGCGGCGGCTTGGGGGGTCGGGCCGCGCGGGCTCTTGGCGATCTCGCGGCGTTCGCGGGGCCTACGCAAGCGCGGCGACGGTCGAGGCGCCGCAGAAGCACCCGGGCGTGAAGGAGCAGTCGCGGGACGCCCCGAACATCTCCAGGCGCTCGGTGGTGCACTCGCTGTTGAAGTTGAGCTCCGTGTTGTGCGGCTGGGTGCAGTTCGAGTCCTTGTACATGTAGTAGTGGTACGAGCCGTCGGAGGGGTCGGCCTTGAACTGCCACCACAGTCTCATGTCGCCTGGGAGCTGCTCGCACGCCTTCGTCGCGTCCGGGACGGCGAGGCCCAGGGCGCCCGCGAGGACGAAGAGCCCCCCCGGACCCTGCACGCCCGTGAGGGCGACGGCGTCGTAGCAGGACTCGGGCGCGCACGTCGAGTCGGAGCACGCGTACATGGCGTCCTCCGTCATCTTGAGGTACGTGAGCGACACGTCCGCGGAGATGGGCGTCGCGGGGCAGGCCTCGTGCGCCGCGGGCGACGGGTGGTCGATGCGCTGGCACATGTCCTCGTAGCACGCGTTGCACGTCTCCTTGCACGCGTGGACCGGGTACTCCAGGCCGGCCAGGCCGCAGCGGCCCGCTGGGTCGTCCGCGACCCAGTTGCAGTCGTAGTCGCGGGGGTTCGTGTTCGTGGAGACGAAGTGGGACGACCAGTCGGCGCCGTCCGGATTGAGGCGCCAGCCGGGGCTGTCGAAGCCGTGGCCGGTGCACGTGCGCGCGCACCCGACCGTAGACGAGAGCGTGCCGAGCTTCTTGTCCTGACTCTTGCGGGCCTTCCAGTCGCCCCCGGTGTAGAAGCAGTAGTTGTCCCGCTTGTTCGGCTTCAAAGCGATCTTCGCGGCGATCTCCGCGCAGCCGCGGGGGCTATCTTGCCCGTGATCGCGAAATCGGGGTCGTCTTCGCACGTGGGCGTGCGTTGGCCGAGGGCGACGGGCGTGAAGAGGGCGAGGGCGACGATGATGGCGTTCATGATGATGGTGTACCTAGTCGGGAGTGAGTCGGTTTGGGTTTGGAGCGGTCCTCGGGGGCGGGGGTCGGGGCTTGGGGAATGACGGAGGGTCCGCCCGGCCAGGCGCCGGGGTCCGGCGACCGATCCGATCGGCGGCGGTCGATCGGCGGTGGTCGCGCCGTTTTCGGGGGCCGGGGACGGTTGAGGGGGGGTTGTCCGGGTCGCCGCGTCGTTCGTCCCGGGATGAGGGGGGGGCTCATGGGGGGTAGGGCCGGACGGAGACCATCGGTCGTCGAGCCTCGGGCGGAAACGGCGAGCGCGCGCCAAAACTCTCTAAACTCGCGATGCAGGTGTCGAAAAGTCCGGGGTTTGGGCCCTCGGGGCGGTCGAAGGGTCACACGATACACGGGGAAGAAGTAGGGAGGCCGGGACGCACTTGTCAGCGCGTGCGGATCGAGGGGCGAGGTTGTCGGCGAGTTGAGGTACTCGACGTGTTGGCGGTCGACGCACGAGGTGTGACATAAGTTACAATCCAATTGCGGACCCCCGGCCAACTCGAAAAAATCCTCCCCCTAGCTCGACGGGGTCCGCAGGGGCGTGACTGCGCTAGTAGACGAACACCTCAGGGAGCCGTTCTCTCTTTCGCGCCTCACTTCCGGTTGTAATGTACACGAAACGCGATCATCGGTTTTCCTTATTTCCCTCCCCACCTCCTTTACCTCTTCACGCCGCCCGTCCCGATGTCGAACTTGTGCTGCATGCCCAGGTCGGAGTGGGAGAAGATGTGGCAGTGGGCGAGCGAGGGCCCGTCGTAGTCGGCGGCGCGGAAGCGGATCTTCACCCAGCCCGGGGTTGGGAGGGTGATGGTGTCGCGCCAGTCCCCCACGGCGTAGTCGACCCCCTCGCCGTGGGACAGGTCCACCTGTGTGCAAATCAACCAGTGAGCTGGGACGTCCTGACCAAACTTTGAAATTCTCTAGCTCGGTCAAATCGAAGTCGATTCGGCTGATTTTTGGACGGATCGATTGCTCTCGACGAGTCTCACACTGCAGTCGGGTTGAATATTTGATTTGCACACAGAGGTCGACGATCTGGAAGTGGTTCGTGTGCAGGTGGAAGGGGTGGTTCGTGTCCTCCGGTCCGCCGTGCTTGACGTCGTTGTGCAGCGTCCACTCTACCACGTCGCCGACGTCGACGGATCCGTCGCCGTCGACGACGCGGAGGCCGTAGTCCGTGTAGGCGTTGCCGTCGCGGACGACAGACGCGCCGTCGTAGTACGCCAGCGTCGCGACGCGATCCGGCCGCTCACCGAGGAGCGACCGGAAAAGCCGCGGAGGCGGCGCGTCGAGGCGCGGCGCCGCGGACGCGTCCGGCCGCCGCGAGGGCGTCGGCACCACATCCAAGATCTCGCCGTCGAAGACGTCCGAGCCGCCGCCCAGGTAGTACGCGAGCGCGCCGCGCTTCGCGCTTCGGAGCGTGGCGGGCGCGTCGCAGCGCGCGAAGAGGTCGACGCGCGACCCCGGCGCGAGCACCTGGGCAGGAAAAGGGTGATTCAACGTCGCTTCAACGTGAGTGTTCCGCGCGCGCGCGTTCCGGGAAAAGTATCCACGCTTCGAGACCGTTCCAAGAGATGATCGCTCGTCCAAAAATCAGCCGAAACGAGTGGAAACCGGCCGAGATCGGAGCCGTTGAAGTTGGGAATTTCGCTCTCTTTTCCTGCTCTGGCGAGCACGAGGGGCGCCGCGAAGGCGGGCCGCGGCTCCGGCAGCGCGACGCCGTCGCGCGCGACGACGGACGCCTCGCAGGCCGTCGCGTCCGACAGCTCCAGCGACAGGATGTCGTTCGACCCGCCGTTGACCACGCGCCAGCGGAGCCACGCGCCCGCGGGCGGGCGGAACGTGGGCCGGAGCTCGCCGTTGACCGTGAAGAAGCTCGCGTCGAGGGGCGCCCGCAGCTCGTCCTTGAGCGCCGCCGCGGCTTTCGTCGCGTCGGCGCCGACGGCGCCGCCGGCGACGACGGGCAGCCGGCTCCCGGACGCGACCGACGCCCAGGCGTAGTTCCGCGCCTTGCCGGCGACGAGGTTCGTCGACGCCAGGAGCATGACGACGTCCTCGGGGAACCGGCCCGGGTCCGCGTCCGCGACGACGACGGCGCCGAGCATGCCGTAGGCCTGGAGGCCCGAGCTCCCCTGCGCGTGCGGGTGGTACCAGTAGGTGCCCGGCGCGTGGTCCGCGGGCAGGTGGTAGTCGTAGCGCTTCGACTCGCCCGGCGCCACGAGCGAGAAGACGTCGTCCTCGCGCGGCGACACCTGTGTGGAAATCAACCGCTGGTTTGGGACGTCCCGACCAAACTTTGAAATGCTCTCGCTCGGTCGAATCGAAGTCGATTCGGCTGATTTTCGGACGGATCGATGGCTCTCGTCGAGTTCTCGAAGCACGGCCGAAGAGGCTGGTCCGAACCGTTCGATTACGCGCACATTGAAGTCGGGTTGAAGATTTGATTTGCACGCGGGGCGACGCGTGCCAGCCGTGCATGTGGAGCGACGTCGTGTTCGGGCGCCGGAGGCTGTCGCGCGCGCGCGCCGCGCCGTCCTCGGCGCCGAGGCCGTTGACGACCTCGACGGTGACGGCGTCGCCCGGCGCCACGACGAGCGTCGGCCCGGGCGTCGACCGCTCGTAGCGCCGGCTCACGACGCCGAACGCGTCCGGCCCCGCGCCGACGCGGAGCCGCGTCCGCAGCGCGCCGCCGCGCGACCGCCGCAGCGGCGCCTGGCGCAGGCCGTAGCGCCGCGCGAAGGGCGTCGTGCTGTCGACGCGCACGTAGCTCAGCGTCATCAACGCGACGACGACGGCGAGGATCACGGCCGCGGCCGCGACGCCGCGCGCGAGGGCCGGGCGCATGGTGTCTTGGTCGCGCGCCCTTCGAGCGATGCGCACGCTTGCGCCTGGGATTGGCGATGCGAATGAAGGTGCGTGCGCGCTCGGCGGCGCGCGTCAACGCGGAGCGCTCTTGCTCAGGCCGTGGACCTCAAGCTTGCGGCAATTCCAGTTCACCCAGCCAAAGTTGCAGCTCGCCGCGCGCAGAGCCGCGCACGCAGAGCCGCGGCCAGCACGCACAGACCGCGAACGCATCGCCTGGGACCTCCTCGACACGGCTCGAGCCCAGAAAACGGTCTTTTAAAACGCCCCGGACGCGCCGTCGCCAAACCAGACGCCACAAACCATGCCGCTCGGCGACCTGCGCACGATCCTGCGCCACCTCGGCAAGTGGCCGTCGACGAAGCCGCGCGACTCCATCTACCGCGCGCACGTCATGGGCGAGTACCGGAGGCACGCGGGCGAGGCGGACCCCGAGGCGCTCGTCGCGCTGCGGCGGCGCGCGACCGACTACGCGAACCTGCTCACGGGCGTCGAGGAGCAGAAGCGGCTGCGGGCCCTCGACACGGGCGCGGAGATGTCGACGAGCATCAAGGAGGCCGCGCGGCGCTCCGCCGTGCGCTCGGGCCTCCTCGCGCCCGAGGAGTCGGACGCGCCGTTCGACGACGTCTTCAAGAAGCCCCTGAACGGGTAGCGCCTGTAAATAACTCGTCGCGCGTCTCTGGTTTTACGTAGTGTGGTGTTAGAGCACGGCTCGGCGGCGTCGACTCGACCGAAAGCCGCACCTTGAATGCCACGTGAACTCAATGTTGTACTTTACCGCATGCTCTTCGGGGCAGCGCGGCCGCTTGCTCTCCGCTCGCTGCCTTCTCCGCCATGCGCGCGCTCGCCCTCCTCGCATTGGCAGCCGTCGCCGACGCCTGGGATGTCAACGCGACGGGCGCGTCGGCTGGCTGCGGCAGCGCGCCGCCGGTCTATCCCGGCGCTCCCGCGGCCAAGCTCGCCATGTGGGCGCCCGACGCCAACCCGCTGTTCCCCGACGGCTACGCCCAGCGCCACTACTTTTTGTGGGTGCCGCCGACCTACGACCCGAAGCAACCGGCGTCGCTCGTCGTCGACTTCCACGGCTTCTACGACAACGCCGGCGACGAGGTCGAGGAGTCCGGGTTGATCGCCGTCGCGACGGCCGCGGGGTTGAACTACGTCGTCGTCTACCCCGTGGGCTCCGGCGGCGGCGGCAGCGGCGACTCGAGGTCGTGGAACGTCGACGGCAACGGCCTCAACCGCGACGACGGCCCCGGCGGGCCCGTGTGCCGACTGCCGCGCGCGGCGTCCCGCGGCCGCGACGATTTTCGAGAGATTTGGGGTGGGCAAAACAATGAGGAATCGTGACCGTCATGCTCGGTAGGCCGCGCACGAAGGACGACGAGTACGTCTGCTACGAGTCGTGCAAGGTGACGCCCCGGGGCTGCGACGAGCGCCGGGGCTGCGACAGCGCGAGCTGCATGGCCGACTCGGCGTTCGTCACGGCGCTCCTGGCGAAGCTCAAGGGCGAGCTCTGCGTCGACCTCGGCGCCGTGCACCTCGCGGGCATCTCCGCCGGCGGCATGATGGCCTACCAGGCGGCGCTGGACAACCACGCGCAGATCGCGTCCGTCGCGCCCGTCGCCGGCTCGCGCT